GCTATTTGCTAATAAGAACAAGAGTTTTAGAGTTCAAATTCCAGTTTTTCCACTTAATAATGTAATGTATATGACCCTAAAAAGTTATTCAACCCAGGGTGCCTGGGTGGCTCAGTCGGTAGAGCTTCCTACTCTTGGTTTTGGCTCAGGTCATGGTTTGTGGGATTGGGCCCTGAATCAGGCTCTGTGCTGACAGCACGAAGCCTGCTTGTGATTTTCTCTCTCTCTCCCTCTCTCTCTGCCTCTCTCCTGTGCTCGCTCTCTCTCTCAAATAAATAAACATTTAAAAATGTTATCTAATCCTGGGATGCTTGGCTGGCTCAGTCAGTAGAGCATTGGACTCTTGATCTCAGGGTCATCAGTTCAAGCCCCACTTTGGGTGTGGAGCCTACTTTAAAAAAAAATTATCTAACCCTGCTAAGCCTCAATTTTCTCACCTAGAAAATCAAAATATCTTCCTCCAGAGATTGTTGTGAGGATTAAATGAGATGTGTATAGTGCCCAACAAATCATAAATATATAAAAAGGACCTTACTATTGTGGTGCTTGTTATCATTTTAAATAAGCTGTTTTGGTGTTACTCATTTATCCTTAAAGTATTTTAACATGTTTTCCCCTCCTACAAATGGGGCAACTTCAAATCATTAGAAACTCTTAAAGTAACAGGCATTGCTGATTTTCATAAACCTTTCCTCTTTTTACATCCTTTTTTTTAAATTTTATTTTTTATTTTTTAAATTTACATCCAAATTAGTTAGCATATAGTGCAACAGTGATTTCAGGAGTAGATTCCTTAGTGCCCCTTACCCATTAAGCCCATCCCCCCTCCCACTCCCCCTCCCCTAACCCTCAGTTTGTTCTCCATATTTATGAGTCTCTTGTGTTTTGGCCCCCTCCCTGTTTTTATATTATTTTTGTTTCCCTTCCCTTAGGTTCATCTGTTTTGTCTCTTAAAGTTCTAATAGGAGTGAAGTCATATGATATTTGTCTTTCTCTGACTGACTAATTTCACTTAGTATAATACCCTCCAGTTCCATCCACGTAGTAGCAAATGGCAAGATTTCATTCTTTTTGATTGCCGAGAAATACTCCATTGTATATATATACCACATCTTCTTTATCCATTCATCCATCGATGGACATTTGGGCTCTTTCCATACTTTGGCTATTGTTGATAGTGCTGCTATAAACATGGGGGTGCATGTGTCCCTTCGAAACAGCACACCTGTATCCCTTGGATAAATGCCTAGTAGTGCAATTGCTGGGTTGTAGGGTAGTTCTATTTTTAGTTTCTTGAGGAACCTCCATACTGTTTTCCAGAGTGGCTGCACCAGCTTGCATTCCCATCCTCTTTATACATTCTCATATTTAGGGTTTAGTCATTAATTCAGCAAATATTTATTGAGGGATTACTGTATGGGGCACACTCTTCTAGGTGCTGGGAATATAGTCATGAACAATCTTATGTTCCAGTCGGGAAGACAAACAAGAAGTGAACAAACAAATAATGGAATTTCAGGTAAATGATTAGCTCTATGGAGAAAATATAGCAGAGTGAAGGCATAGAAAAATATGTGGGGGAAGAAGCCTTATTTTTATTTTTTTTAATGTTAATTTTGAGAGAGAGAGAGCTCACACACAACTGGGGTAGGGATGGAGGGGCATAGGATCTGAAGCAGTCTCTGCACTGACAGCAGAGAGCTGACACGGGGCTTGAACCTGAGAACCACAAGTTCATGACCTGAGCCGAAGATGGATGCTTAAGTGACTGAGACACCCAGGCGCCCCAAAAGAAGCCTTACCTTAGATAAGATGGACAGGAGATGTGAAAAATGAGTAGAAATCAGAAAACAAGAGAGGGAGAAATGATGGCGTGGATTGGTGTGGTAGCAATGAAGATAGTGAGTGGTCAGGATAAGAGGTATGTTTTGAAGTTGGAATTACCCTTTGTCTAGTCAGCTTAGGCTGCTATAACAAAAATACCATCGACTGGGTGGCTTAACAAATATTTATTTCTCACAGTTCTAGAGGCTGAGAAGTCCAATATCAAGGTGCCATCCAGTTGGGTTCCTGGTGAGGGCTCTCTTCCTGGTTTACAGATGGCTGTCTTGTTGTATCCTCCCATGGTGGAGAGAGAGATCATCTATCTCTCTTATGTTTCTTCTTATAAGGGCACTCATCCCATTCATGAGTACTTCATCCTCATGACCTCCCAAAGGCCTCATCTCCAATACCATCCCATTGAGGATTAGGGCTTCAACATAGGAATTTGGGGGGGGGGGGACACATTCAGTCAGTAACACCATTGGGTTAGTTATGAGAGTAGTTCCCAGGGTTACGCAGCTTTGTTAAGTAAAATCTCCATCAGTACCCATTAGATTCAGTGAACAGCGAAGAATTGTAGTCATTTGGAAGTTTTTTGAAGTGTGGATAACCAGCCATTTAACACAGTCACGAAGTTAGCATTATTCTAATTCTTTGACTTGTGCCTCAACATCTGAATATAATCTGCATTAAGTCAACTGTCATTTTTCATCCTTTCATTAAAAAAAAAAAAAAAAACTCAGGAAGGGGCACCTGGGTGGCTCAGTCAGTTAAGTGTCCGACTCTTGATCTCAGCTTGAGTCTTGAGCTCAGGGTCGTGAGTTCAGGCCCTGAATTGGGCTCCGTGCTGGGTGTGAAGCCCGATTGAAAAAAGAAAATAGCTAAAAAACAAAACAAAACAAAACCAAAAACCTCAGAAAATCACCATGACAGAGGTCTTAAGAGAGTTGATTGAACTATTAAGGCATTAAATTTATTTTTTGAAGAATCCTATTGCTTGTTTTGCAGTTAAGCACAATAACTGTTAAGAAGTTTATATTGTCTATTATTAGTAATATTAGGGTTTTTTTTAAGTTTCTTTGCTATTTTGAGTATCATTTTTAGTTACCTATAAGGCTGTTTCCTCTGATTAGGAGTGAGATAAAAGGCTGATATCCTGTTTGTGCTTGCTTTGAAGGTTTGTTGCTCAAGGAACAGTTGACAAGCTGGTAAAAGTTCGAGAGGTAGAAGCCAGTTTGACATTTTTTTTTTCTCTTTTGCTTTAAAATATTTGAAGCAAATTCAATGGAGAATTTTATTGGCCTCTGTGCTGACAGTGTGGAACCTGCTTGAGATTCTCTCTCTTTCCCTCTCTCTCTGCCCCTCCAGTGTGTGCACTCTGTCAAGAAAGAAAGAAAGAGGGGCGCCTGGGTGGCGCAGTCGGTTAAGCGTCCGACTTCAGCTAGGTCATGATCTTGCGGTCCGTGAGTTCGAGCCCTGCGTCAGGCTCTGGGCTGATGGCTCAGAGCCTGGAGCCTCTTTCCGATTCTGTGTCTCCCTCTCTCTCTGCCCCTCCCCCGTTCATGCTCTGTCTCTCTCTGTCCCAAAAATAAGTAAACGTTGAAAAAAAAATTAAAAAAAAAAAGAAAGAAAGAAAGAATGAATGAATAAATAAATAACTTTAAAAAGTAAAAAAGTAAAAGCACACATATGTGTACCTATGACATTTTTAAAAAGCTGCGTGATTGGCTTGTCCACAGTTTCTACATAAATTTTTGTTGGCCCTGTGTTTATTTGTTTTGCCATTTTGTCAGCATTGACCAACACCACAAATAGTAGCAAGAATCAAATGTTTCAGGTGTGTTTGTGGAGGAAAAAACTTAATATTGAGGAAATTCTATCCATTAATTTAACTTATTTCTGCAAGCTAGTGTGTAGGATGTTACTTACTTTTTATATCAGATCTTAGAAGTCCATTGTTCCTTGGGAGCATGTTGTGATAACCCCTTTGGTAAATTATGGAGTTCCTCCAAAAGGTCTTAACTATGACTTGATCTTAGATATCTAAGTATTAGAAATATCACTTTGGCAACAGTGTTGGAAGGAGGTGGATACTGGAAGCAGGTAGGCCATCTAGGAGACTACATCATGGTAGTTCTAGAAGAATGATAAGGACATGAACTGAGGTTGCTGTAATAGGGATAGAAATAGACATTCAGGAGGTTAGATTGGTGAGAATGTGTACTGGCACTTACATACGTATAATATTTAAATAAGTTGTGACAGTAGTGTCATAACTGTTCTTGGGCACTTACTTTGTTTAAGACACTTTATTATCTCATTTGATCCTTGCAGTAACTCTACAGGTGAGTGTTATTCCCTTGTTATAGAGTAAAGCTTGGATGGGTTAAGAGTACAAGGCACACCATTAAGTAAGTTGCAGAAAAATTGAATCCAGGTGTCCAGCTGTAAAGCCCGCACTCTTTGTATCCTATACTGTGATGCCTCCCTTATAAATATTATGGTCTCCACCTATATATTTTTTTATTTTAATTATTTTAGTGTTTATTACTTTTGAGAGAGAGACAGAGCATGAGCAGGGGAGGGGGGGAGAGAGAGGGGCCACAGAATCTGAAGCAGGCTCAGGCTCTGAGCTGTCAGCACAGACGCCCATGCAGGGCTCAAACTCATGAGCTGTGATGTGAGATCATGACCTGAACCAAAGTTGGATGCTTAACTGACTAAGCCACCCCCAGGAGCCCCTCTACCTATGTTTTATAACATTTGGTTTGTTTCATAGATGCTGAGTTAAAGGTGACTTCTTCTGTTCACCTAAGAATAGCTTTCTTACATTCAGAGTCTTTTTGTCTCTTTCCCTCCAAAAAAAGAGAGTTTAGAAATATTTTTATTAAAGAAGCCAAATATAAAAGGAGCACATTCTCTCTCCAGAATCTTTCTTTGCATTCTTAATCTAATAATAGCAATCGGTAAGCAGCAAATTGAATTATAATACATAGGCCCAGAAACTGGCTTTAATAAAAACCAAAGCCTGGTGGTTATTAAAATATCTGGATGTATTTTATCCTTCTCTAACATCAGTTGCCTATTGTGATAATTTATGCTTTGTGTATTTTTCCAAGGACTTATTTTGTTCCGTGTTGACATGTAAAAACTTTTGTGTTTCTGAAATGTTTCAGTGCCTGAAATCCAGCTAACAGTAGACAAATCTCTTTAAAGATCAGTGTCCTTTGGGTAAGTGGCCAACTTAGGCTCAGGTCACGATCTCATGGTTTGTGTATTTGAGCCCTGCATTGGGTCTTTGCTGTTGGCGTGGAGCCTGCTTCAGATCCTCTGTCTCCTTCTCTTTCTGTCCTTCCCCCACTCATTGTCGCTCTCTCAAAAATAAACAAACATTAATAAGGGGGGGGATTAGTGTCTTGATATCCTTTCTCTAAACTCCATTGTTGCTCTCTCAAAAATAAACAAACATTAATGGGGGGGCGGATTAGTGTCTTGATATCCTTTCTCTAAACGCCTTGCCTTGCACTGAAGGGACTTTAATGTCCCTAGACAGACTTGCTAATTTTTTTGACCACACCTCACCATTATAAATACGTTTGCAATCCATAGCACACACACATACCTGAAACAAACATTCTGAAGCGATATTTACCCTTACCTTCATGCAGTACATGTGTTCTGATTTATTCTGTTGTTCACCATTCTATTGCGTTAAAAACATTTGAAGACTTCCTCTTCCAGTTAGAATGTAGTAATACTTGAAAAACATTTGCTTCCACAGTAACAAGAAAATCCTGGACAAAATAAAAATCATATATTTCTTGGGGGTCAGTGAACAGTAGTGGATGCAAGGAAATGTTGATGAACTGAATTCCAAAGTGAATTCCTTTGAAAGTGAGCAAAGAGCCATAACAATTTTCATACCTGAGGACAAGCACATAGTCTGGATACAGGTAGCCCTGGCATAGATGGGGAGGCTTTACAGAGGCAAGGGGAAATCTGCCAAGTCTTAGTTAATGGTATGGACTCTTGGAATTGGAGAATTGGAATCTGGAAGAATCCAAAATGCAAAAACAAACCACTTGGCCCAATAATTTTCTACTGTTCCAGTTTTTACTAATAAGAAACCAGCATTGCAGGAGGTAGGGGAGGCACAAAGAAGTTTTATATCCCACATATTTGTGCAGTGATATCCTGCCAGAGTTGGATCCAAAATTGAACCAAAAATAACTAAAACTGTAGCCAAGCTCTTTCCAGCTCAAATACTGACAAGATTTAAGAGGTAGCAGCAGCTCAGGAGGTTAGAGGTTGAGCTAATCCCAGGTGAATTCTGGGGCACCTGCGTGGCTCGGTCAATTAAGCATCTGACTCTTCGTTTTGGCTTGGGTCATGATCTCAAGGTTCGTGAGTTCCAGCCCTGCATCAGACTCTGTGCTAACAGTGCAGTGCCTGCTTGGGGTTCTCTCTCTCCCTCTCCTTCTGCCCCTACCCCACTCACACATGCTCTCAAAATAAATAAACTTAAAAAAAATTAAAAACAATCCTAGGTGAATTCCATGTACTAAGACCTGCTATCCAGCCTCAGTTCAACTTGACTATAAGAGGAATCTGAATGATTAGTCCCTCAATTTAATTATCACACAGAGGAATGCTTGCAATCTCAGAAATATATAAAACAAAACAAATACAAAATGTATCTTTTCCTCTAGTGTTCTTTTATAGACAGTGCTAAGAATATGATTAAAAATTATAAGGAACTAGAAGAAATAGGAAAATGTGAACCATAGTAAAGAAAAAAATGGGGTCAGTAAAAGGAAACCTAAAGATGACCCAGCTGTTGGCATTAGCCAACAAGGACTTCAAGATTTTTATAATAAATATATTAAATAATATATAGGAAAAAATGTAATGGGTGAAGAGATGGAGTATTTCAGAAGAGCAATGGAAATGTTAGAAGAACCAGATAGAAATTTGAAGCTGGAAAATACAATATTGGAAATAAGAGTTATTAGATGGGCTTAAAATCAGATTGGACTTTGTTTTATAGAATGTTTAGTGCACTTGAAGACAGGTCAATAGAATTCAAGCTGAAGCAGAGCAAGAAAAAGTAAAAAAAAAATAAATGAGCAGAGAACAGATAATCTGTGGAATAATAATATTAAGTTGTCTAACATATGTGTAATTAGAGTCTCAAAAGGAGAAGAGAAAGAATGGGTCAGCTGAAAAATGTATTTGATGGAAAACAACTCAGAATCTAAGAAACTCTATAAACCTCAAGCAGGATAAATGCAAAGAAGACCACACTTAGGTTTATCATAGTTAAATTGCTGAAAAGCAAAGATAAAGAGTAAATCTTAAAAGCAGCTAGAGGGGGAAAAAAGCCACATACATACAGGGGAACTAAACATAAGAATGGCTGCAAACTTCTTATTAGAAATGATGCAAACTGGAGTGCCTGGGTGGCTCAGTTGGTTGAACATCCGACTTTGGCTCAGGTCACAATCTCATGGTTCATGAGTTCGAGCCCCGTGTCTGGCTCTGTGCTAACAGCTCAGAGCCTGGAGCCTGCTTCAGATTCTGTGTCTCCCTCTCTCTGCCCCTCCCCTGCCCTCTCTCTCTCTCTCTCTCTCTCTCTCTCTCTCTCTCTATCTCTCTCTCTCTCTCTTTCTCTCTCTCAAAAATAAATAAACATAAAAAAAAATTTTTTTTAAATGATACAAACTACAAGCCAAAGAATAACAACCTAGGGGCACCTGGGTAGCTCAGTTGGTTAAGCGCCTGACTCTTGGTTTCAGCTCAGGTCATGGTCTCACAGCCCCGTGAGTTCAAGCCCCATTAGGGGCTCTGTGCTGACAGCACAGAGTCTGCTTGGAGTTCTGTCTCCTCTCTCTACCCCTACCCTGCTCACTCTGTCTCTCTCAAAAATAAATGAACATAAAAAAAAAAAAGAATAACAACCTTAAACTGAAGAAAAACAAAATAAAACAAAACAAAAACCTGTCAACCTACAATTTTATATCCAGCAAAAATAACCTCCAAAACTGAAGGTGAAATAAATTTACTTTAATAAAAGAGGAGGAAATTTGTTGACCACAGATATGCACTACAGGAAATGTTAAAGGAAGTCCACAGAGAGCAGTGATAAATCAGAATTTTCAGATGAGAAAACTGAAACCTAGAAAGGTAAAGTGACTTTGCTAAGGTTACACAGCTGGTTAAGCTGCAGGGTTAGGACTAAACTCCATTTCTTCTGATTTCAGTCCAGTGTACTTTGTTTGGGGGGCAGTCTATCACAGTGAGTGGGAAAAGCAGTGACTTTGGGAGTAGTCATATTCAGATCTGAATCCCAGCTCCACTGGCTGTTAGAACCTTGGACTACTGGGAACGTCACTCATCTCCATTTTTCAGATGAAGAATATGGCACAGAGAGATTAATATCTACATCATTGTTGTTGAGAAGAAGATTATGTTTGTTAAAGTACCTTACACTTTATTTATGTCTATTTATTGTAGACATAAAATCAATATTAGTTTTCTTCCCCTCTTTCCACTATGCTGCCTTTTTTTTTTTTTTTAAATTTTTTTTTCCAACGTTTATTTATTTTTGGGACAGAGAGAGACAGAGCATGAACGGGGGAGGGTCAGAGAGAGAGGGAGACACAGAATCGGAAATAGGGTCCAGGCTCTGAGCCATCAGCCCAGAGCCTGACGCGGGGCTCGAACTCATGGACCGCGAGATCGTGACCTGGCTGAAGTCGGACGCCCAACTGACTGTGCCACCCAGGCGCCCCTGCCTTTTTTTTTAACCGGTAGAGATTTTGTGGGGGGAGGGTGGAGGTGATCATCTTTCCCAGAAATTTTGTCTTCTGTCTTATTTCTTTCCTGAATTAAGTCACCTTCATGACACCTATAGTGATTGTGTTTCCATTTGGCTGACTGTTCCTTCTCATAGCTTAGTAGTTGGAATCCTCTTGGCATCCATTTTCTTTGGTAAACAGGCACTAAACCTGAAACTCGCATTTTAAACATAGGCATCTATATGCCTCTTCACAAAAGAACACATAAGAGCTCGAGGAAAATCTGCAACGAGTGGTATAATATTCTTGGGAGCTAAATGCATTAATGAGGAAGAAATCTCAGATTATTTAGATGTTTAAGAGTATGGTTAACCAAGTAACTAGAATGGGGGATATGACAGAGACTACAGATACAAAGTATAAAAGAAAAGAATGACATTAATAGATAATGAAATTTCCTTAAATACTCTTCCTTTTAAAAGCAAAACAATGCGTTTTTTAAAAGCAAATACAATGTATTTGTATTTTTCTAATTATAATAATTTGTAAATTTTATTAAAACTGGTAACATCTATAATCCCATCAGCCAAAAAAAAAACCATTTACCATTTTAAATGATCAGAATATCTTTCTATACCACATACACCTTTCAAATAAATAAAAACATTATTCTACACACACACACACACACACACACACACACACACAAAAGAGTATGGTTATATGATAACTTGTTTTAGATTTCCTGATCAAAATCTGTTGTTCAGAGAAAGATGATACTAGTTCTACAGAATGTAGGCTTGAGTACAAAGAGTGATTTTTTTTTAAGTCTATTATTTTGAGAGAGAGAGAGAGCATGCACAAGCTGGGGAGGGGTAGAGAGAATCCCAAGCAGGGTCTGGGATATCAGCATGAAGCCCAACACAGGGCTCCATCCCATGAACCATGAGATCATGACCCGAGCCAAAATCAAGAGTCAGACGTTCAACCGACTGAGCCACCCAGGCACCCCAAAGAGTGATTAAAAAAACAAATTAATGTATCTTATCTAGTGTACATTCACTGTTTCCAAAAGGTCTGGAATTCATTACAAATATGAACCCTTGTTAAGTCCTTTGTCCCCAAGCAGTGTGCCTTATGTGAAAATTGAAAAGAAGATTGTTTTGCTGAAAATTAAATTGTCCCCAAAGTAAGCTCACTGTGTTTGGATTTTGTTTACTTTAGTAACAGATTTATTTATGCTATTTAATTGATTGTTACTTGATTATTAAGGATACAGAAGACCAGTAGCACCTGCTCTGAGGAGACCATTTGTTTTTGAGTTTGATGTTGGCATTGTTTTCCCTTAAAGCATTCAGATTCAAGGGGTGCCTGGGTGACTTAGTCGGTTAAGCATCCTACCTCAGTTCAGGTCATGATTTCATGGTTCGTGAA